GGAATCTCATTATCTGCTCTAAATGGTGGTCAAACAAAGACTACCATGTGCTGTCAGCCACAAAAAATTCGAATGAAAAGTGGTGATACAGCTGATGAACATTCTGCACAAGACAGGATCCGGATATGACGTCAAATGATACCTTTTGTGTCTAAACTTGACGTTAAACGCAAGAAAAACCAGCCCCAAGACGATGCCAAGACTGCTGAGCATACAAACAAAAGCATACAGCCATAGTGGTATCTTGACAAACTCTTGCATCACAACAGTTCGGTCTACAGGACGCTTACCGCCTGAAAACACACCAAATGTTTGATAAATATRAGATAAAACGAGATATAAAGTCGTAAAAATCTGGTTGTAGAACACGAGGGATGTTCATATAACAACCACACACAAGCAAGTACTTTGGTACAAATCGAAAAGTAGTTATGTGAAGGCTTTTTTCTTACATTTTCTTCATTACAGGATTTGTTGTCCAAAGCTCTAATTGTTTCAGGTTTAGGTTAAATCATGTCGAGAAAATGTTTGGCTTGAATTATCTTATATTAGCGGTTTTTTTTAGAGCAATTGGACCCGGTAATACGTCACAACCTCCTATTGGATAAATTATTACGTGTGTGTGACGTCATTGGCAGGATCTTTATACCCCATTTCACAATTTTTATGTATACCTGGCCACACGTTTCCTTTTCCAACCAGCTTTAGTTTACGCTGTTTTGGATAATAAAATCCCACCGCTACTGCTTGTCCATCTGCAGTGCAAAAAAAAAAAAAAAAAGAATTTCAACAAGATAATTTCTGGTGTCTGAATAACCTAAAGGAGTACATACCGGGGTCGTGCTGAAGTATTTCGACCACTCCATCGTAACGATCACCATCCTCAAAGAAAGCTACCTCACCCTGAATGAGACGAAAATAATATTAATTGGTTACGTTTTTATTAAATGACTGGTTTAAGTTTACCATAGTTTCTGTCACGCAACGCTAGGTAAACGTTGCGTGACAGACACTTATAACGTCTGCGAAGGAGGCTTATTCTCAAGATGATGTATACATACATGATACATGGTCTAAAATGGGAAACTACTCTCCCAAGGCAAAGAGCTCTTTGTCTTACCGTTATCCCTTCAAAATTGATCTTCTGTATAGTAGACACGAGTATTTTCGTCATTCTTTGATCTTGGTACGAAGCGTTTCCAGATATTTCTTTGTTGGCATTTATCAAGGGGAGTGACTGGTTGAGAGCTGAAGCAATGACCCACACAGCGTCATATGTGTAGGCTGTGATGTTGGGTGGCTTGGTGATGTTCAAGAACTTTAGATATGTCGTGTACTGCTTGTGGTACTCTGCTCGAGTCTACGAAGATTAAAAAAACGAACCTTTAAATTTTTATGGATATCCTGAAACAACCTCTGGGCTGATCAAAGTTAGGGCGCAGCTAACACACAGATAAAAATTGGAATTGAGCTCGTTAGTTTTCAAAAACCGTTGAATTTTTTTTTCTTAACTCACATTCAGGATTCGAACGCGAGACACTAGAAGTGAGAGGCAAGTGTATACCGCTACGCCACCCTTGATTCCCAGAGAAGCATTTCTCTGCACAAGGAAAATCTCGCTTTTGTCCGTGGCCTGTTCCCCATTCAGTGTTCAAGTCTACCTTACGCGTGTTATATTTTTAGAGCTAACAAAATAGTGAACGCCGAACGTGGTAGAGCAAATTTCATGGAAGAATACCTTACGGGCCGGGGAGTGACGGTTGTAAAAGTCTATTACTAAGTAACAAAAAATCGTGTGCGCAAATCTACCTACCACTCCAGAAATGGCACGCCTTGCGTTCCCTTGCTCATCGTCGCCTAAATATATCTGGTTGTTGAATATAAACGAATACGCAATAGCCTTTTTCATTTCTTCTTGCGTACACTTGAGATTCTTGTCTGGCACTGCCCACCATCGATGGCTGTATGTACCTATCAGAAGCCATACATAACGAGGTCCATATAGTCCTGACTTGTAGGCCTGATAACGTATCATTTTATATGGTTAGAGGTAATCATAGATTATCGTTTTGGGGGGAGGGGGGTGGGGGTTAAGGCCATTCATAACGAGATCCACATACTYTACACATCATGTTAAGCTATATAGTCCAGCCATGAACTAGCAATTCAAGGATATAAGGTGCCTCTCAAGAAGCAAAAGTATATTTGAATGCATGATTGAGTATATAATTTCTGTCATGATGATATAAAAAAATGCTTCGTACTCATGAGAAGGTTACACGATTTCCAGCCATTAAATGTTGAAATCTTTACTCCTTACTCATTATTTATCCTGTCAAAACAGGTGAATAAATGTCTGGACTGTTTCCTCGTGGTCAAACATGTTTGTGTGGTCAAGATGGACTGCATGCTTGTTAGCATAATTGGTTAGCTTTACAAAGTATGAAATACCTGACAGAATATCAGTCTTGCTCTTCTTTCATAGAACGTGCCAACTATGATGCGAGCATCGTTTCTCTGTCAAGAAGGAGCCAACAAAGATTGGATAGACGTTGAGGTTAGGCCCGATTTCCAGCGTACAACTATGACACCCTCACAGTTCAAACCCAGCCTCATACAAATCGAGGTAAGTTTCTCTACGCAGACCAACAAACACTGGCTGGCCAATTTTTGTATCACCTCACAAAAACTTAAGCTAGGTTAATGACAATTTTGTATGACTATAACAAAACAGAGTACGACAATAGAGGTGTTTTCGTATCTGTGGGAAAGGTACGGGAACTGTCTTACTGCTCGCACACGGTACGACATGTCGTAACATTGAAATGGCTTCTCATAGGAATGGTTATCATGCACGGTACTGTCTTACTGGCTTACTCCCATTGTCTTCCATTAATTCATCCAACCACAACGCGTAGTTATGGCTACAGTAAGATACTGTACGGCTGCAAAACTAAGCTTTATCGTATCATTTTCACTCGTACGAAAACTGCTTACGAACACTGAATTACTCTAAGGAGAAGCCATTTAAATGCTACGGCATGCCGTACCTTGCATGCAGTAATACAGTATCGTGTGTTTCCCACTGCCACGAAAACCGCTCTTTTGTCGGTACTGTGTGCTTCTTACAGTCACGCTACTATTTGTCAGTAAGTTAACTTTAGTTTTTGTGATGTGATATAGATATGGGCCAACCATGCCAGTGTTTTCAAGTAAATCTGGCGACCATAATCATTGTCAGTTTTCCTCTTACCATAAGCATCCTCATATTGATATCAAGTTGCTTGCCATTGGTCTGTTCAGATAACACTATCGAACAATTCAACTTCTTCAGTTCATCTATCACTTGGTGGTTGGACTGGGACGCCTAAATAATTAATAGATTCATTATGTGTAAGCATGTGACAAAAACTTGAATGATAGACCGGCCGTTTCTATTGCAAGTTACGGTGACTTACGCAGCACGCAATTTGAGTGCGCACACATGTAATATAGCGTTACATGCAGTTCGTGTGACCGTACAAAAACACTTAGTTAAATTACCAGTGAAGTATATCGTGAACTTGGCTCGAACTGCATATGAGGAATAGGGGACTGTAGTGACCCCCTCGTCCCCTTTCACACAGCCCCCCATTCCCCATCCCTTTTGGGCCGCAGGCTACATCTTAGCTAAATCACAGCCGTACTGATGAGTAGTACTTCTTTCATGCAGTGCGGCAAGCGATTTATAATCAAAACCAAAACACGACTAAAATGTGTGCGCTTTCGTTTTCGTTGTTGCTAGAAGCCAATATGGCGGAAACGACCACGTGACCCAGTAGATCTCATCGTGTAATAAACGACTTAACAATGGCTCTAAGGCAAAGTTGTACTTAAACAACGCATGCGTAGGTAATCCATGAAAACATGAAGCCCAAAGTCCAACCTCGACTTGGAGCTATTGTTTCGTGGTATCGTATAGAACGGTCTGAACCCAGGTGAATGAATGTTAATCGAAGTATTATGATCATCCGGTTGTCTTTCAAATGAATTCGGGAACGGTCTATTGTAAACTTTAATGTGGTTATGATAGTATAAAATGTTTGTACTTATATTATATCTCACCACGTCACCACCTGTGTTCTCGTACAGCAGAGCAATGTTTTTCCACCCAAAGTGCTTGATCCATGCCACTCGTGCCAGGTTCCTCGCAGACTCAGATGGCAGAGTACGGAAGAGAGTTGGGAACTTTTTACGGTTTGAAAGCGCCAGAGAACGCGAGGCATATGATATCTGGAGGGAAAAAATATTGTCTACACTAAAGTATTGTAATAATAATCATTATCATACACTCAATTGAAATGGCACATGGGGAGTAAATAAGCGGTTTCGCGTACGCTGCAACCTATAAAAATGCGAAGCCCGAACGGCTCTCAAACGCAGGTCTTCTGAATACGCGTTTGACATTCTAAACCGACTGCATGGATGGCGCAAATGAATAAATTATAATATAATTATGTCATTTCCCATGTGCCATTTCGGTCTCAGCTTCTATTTTTTTCTATGTTCTGAACCCGACAACGATTCTTCAATAGCGCTGCGCACTGATTCTAAAAATAGCTTAAAGATTCGGACAAACATTGCATTCTGTTTAACCGCTACGAKGATTATACGAACCGATTTTATTATTTTTACTTAAAGTTACGAAAATTATCTGTTGAAAGTAAACTTGTAAGTTTGTTTGTCCGAATTTCGCCTTTGTCTTCGTTTTTATGACGTCACGACTGCGCTGCGCTATTGAGTGTATCATTATCAGCCATAACGTTTTTCAAATAAGCCAYGTAAAAGCTCGTTTGGCAGCAAAAAAGCCGTGCAGAAAAAATGCGAATACATTAACAGTGGTCATACTTTTGTACGTCGTGCAGTGTCACTTGTTGTTATCATCATCATCATCATCATCATCATCACCATCAGATAATTATTTTGTTATCATGTCATTGGTTAACTGACCTGCGCAAGATTTCGATATGCGGACAGCTCGGCTAGAAGTTCTGTGACGTCAGAGCATGCTGCACCCAGTACCATGACAACGGGACGCTTGTCCATCATGAGATCCATAAACATATTAGCAGAATAAGCAGGATCACACTGAAACAGAAAGTCAGATGGCTTAATCTGTCAATCCCTAATATATTCCAGTGAATGTGGGCTTAGCTTCGAATCAAGGAGTAGCTTGTTTTGTTATTCTTATTTCTGCTTTTGTCTACCGACCTCACAAGTGAGGCCTGCATACACTGGAGTAGTAAGAGTCGTTAATAAAGCAAAATCGACGACGACAGGTAATAACAATTTCCAAAACTAGGAAGAAAGAAAAAAAAGCCGGTCTCAAATGAATTAACAGAGGTTCCGTTCAACTCAGGATCACTTCATGTCACGCAAAATTACGCTCCGTTCCCTTGAGTATAGTTTTTTCTTCGATAAACCGGACTAGTCTTCTTCGCAGCCGTAAGAATCCGAGAGAGGATATTACAGGAGGGATCCATGTTGATAGGAGGATATTACACAGGGATCCCATGTAACAGATCAAGTTCCCAATAGACCACGTATAGCGGCCCTCTGCGTGGGAAGTGGGAGATATTTTCCCAGTTTTACATTTTGAATTCATAAAACTTAATAAGATTAATTACTAATTGACCCTCGTAGGTCGAGGTCGAGTGACCCCCAGCTGTGATGCGTGGTAAACCACGTAATCTGTGCATCTATACCATTATAAGTCGATATTCACAGCCTTAGATTTTACGGTTTATAGAGTTAATAAGATTACTTATTTAACCCTTAAGTCGAGGTTGATTGGCCCCTTGCTGTGATCATTGTTATCCTCTGTGATTTAATCGCAAATCTGTGATAAATCCATTAGCTGTGCGAGAAGTATACGGCCTATGCTAAGAAACTTTGAATTCATAACTTCATTAACCAACCATCGACCATGTATCAGTTTATAATCATAATAACTGGGACTATCTGCCTTTGACTGACCAGGGAAGGTCAGTGTTAATCGACCACCGACCTTGGCTCATCATTGAGTTTATGAACCTGGGTTATCGACCACCGACCACAGAAGTATTTAATCGACTACCGACCTTAGCTGATCATTGAGTATATAAACCTGGGTTATCGACCACCGACCACAGTAGTATTTAATCGACCGCCGAACCTTTTACCTCAACGTCTAGTTATAATCTTAACCATTGTACATCGTATATATTTTTTATATTTGACATTACGCTTAAGCTAATGTTCCCGCTCTGCTAATGAGCCGCGAAAATTGAAGGGAAATCCCTATAAAGAGACTTATACCATAAATACTGCACCAGATATTCTGATAGGATGCCGCGCACTTCTGTTATCAGAATTAGCTTGCAAGGAAAAGTTCTTAATTATTGAGTCGATTGCCGCATCCGAAAAAAAATTTGCCAGGAATCTTTAAAAATACTGATCACACAACACCGAGCACGGGGGTTCTGTATTTATGTAATGAAATGTCCAGCGCATTTGTTAAAATGAAGATATGAAACATTTTCGCATTAATGACTGAGTCGATAGCGGCTGTTCTGCCGACAAAAAGCCCTAAAAATATCCACTCAATTTTCGTACAAACCAACGTAACGGAACTTGAAACGAGTTCAAATATAAAAAAATTCTGCTTCAGAGAAGTGAAAAAGATAAGTACTTTGAATATTTTTTTCCTGCTAGGCTGTGAACCGGTGAAAATAAAATATTAAAGTTACCAAAAGAAAAAAGAAAAAAAAAAAAAAAAAAAAAAAAAAAAAAAAAAAAAAAAAAAAAAAAAAAAAGGAACGTCCAATAATAACCTTATTGCATAACTAATTCTTTAAGCCAATTCGTTCTCGAAATATTTTTTAGTATGTTGAAACAATTTAGAAGGTTTAATTTAGGCTGTGAATCGGCGAAAACAAAAAATAGACTATCCAAAAAGAGAAAAAACAAAAACAAAAAACAGGATGTCCAATAATCACCTTACTGAATTACTAATTCTTCAAACCAATTCGTTTTCGAAATATTTTTCAGTACGTGATAATCCCGTTGAAACAATCTAGAGCTTTGATTTATGGTAATTAAAACAGTTCTTTATCGTTAATTCGCCCCTTGGTGCTTTGGTGGAGTTAAATTTCCATTGATTCCATTAACGCCAGGATTGATTTCCTGGTCTTATTCCACGAAGTTGAAAAAGATGAATTTCTTCTTCGTCTTCTCCTATTTTTGTAATGATAGATAATGTTATTATTTTGGTTCCTGAAGTCAAAAGATGAATAAAAGAGAACGTGGGCCAAAGAAAACGTCGCATAAATCGAATGAAACATTATCTGTTAATCCGAGAAATTGGAAGTCAATTTAATCCATCTTATACAGAATTATTACATTAGTAAGTCGTTTGATGTAGCCGCCCTATAAAATGTACATTTGGTGAATTCGCGAACTCACAGCTGTGGTTGGGGATTAGAATACACCAAGAACTGTCTTGCTTATAGCTCATGGTTAAAAAAAAGGCAAAGGAAAACAAAGGAAAACGTATAAATAAAATGATAATTAAAAACAAAAAAAGAAAAGAAAAGAAAGAAAAGAAAAGGAAAGAGAGAGAGAGAGAGAGAGAAAAAAAGAGCGAAAACAACAAAAGAAAAATCAATAAGGCGAGGATTTGCTTCTTATTCCCTCACTTTACCCAGATCACCCGTACCTCTGAACCACCCCAATTGTTCTTATGCTGTGACTTAATTAGAGTCAACCAGAAAGTCGCAGCACAGCGATGCCTTATCAGAAACAGCCCGCGGGCTCTGCTAGACAAAGAATTGCTTCCCGGTATGTAGAAAATGATAGTGGTGTTTACCGTCACGTAGCACATTTAGAAATAATAAGTATACCTTGTAAAACAAGATGAGCATGATAGCAAAATAGTGGAAATGATGATTACGATAAATACTGTTTTACTGATTTTGGGAAGGAAAACTGACTTCACAAAAAATGCACTGATGACAGCGGTTGACAGCGGTTGTTTGGGTCCGTTTTGCGCTTTATTTTCCAGCTATAGCCAATAAAGTACGAATATCGTAGGAGAAAGCCTAGAGGAGTTATCTCAGTACCGCCTAAAAGCCGGTTTTCGGAAACTATTTCAAAGAAAAAAATATTTGTTTTGAAGCCTTCTTTTTGAAAAAAAAAATCCGTTGGATAAGAAGTAACTTATTACTGAGTTTTTAAAAGGCGCATAGTGAGTGAATATTTTTTCTTGTCTAATAAGTCTAATAAAATACATGTCAAGCTATAATTATTCATTATATCTTTTTTTCTTTTTTCTTCTTTCACTTTCTTTATTATTTTTCTTTAATTCTCTTTCAATTAGTGAACGGCGTCGGCGTTTTGAAGTCCAAAGTATTTTTGGAAGCTCATGCTTATACGTGATAACTATATCATAAATTAATAAAACTCGTTCGAGATTCTTCAAAATCAAAACATACAGTGAATGTTTCGTATGTTGACTATAATATTCCGTGAATAAGATTTCAAGATGTCCATTCTCTCATTTTTTGCAGTGTATATAAATTATTCTTGGTAATCAAGCATCTTAACAAAGACCAAAATAAGTTAATCTTTTTCTTTGCTGAGGAAAGCTCAAATTGCAAAGGAACAGACAGTTTTGAAATACTTTTGAAAGAATTTGAAGAAATATTTTGTTTGAAAAACAGGCTCTAGCATCCTTGACAAGGGGATTTTTTCTTCCGATTTCCTCATTTATAAAACGGAGAGAGAAAGAAAAGAAAAGGGAAAAAAGAAAAGGGAAAGTAAGAATGCGGAGTGACATGTGGTAGGAAGTTACCGCCAAAGGTCTAGTATATTCATTGCTAGGAATAAATACTACGTCACAGTACTATAAAAAGGAAAAGGAAAAAAGCTATCAAGAGAGACAAAATATTCTGATATTTTTAATTGAGTAAAGTCTCAAAATAGAAATGAATGAAGAGATTCTGTTTGTGCCAAAGGTCACTTCTCCTTGTCATAAGCTAAATATACTGAATTAGGTGAGTCTTAGCCAGTAATTAAATAATTTTTAAAGGAAAGGACTACTTATGTCATAGTTACATATCATTGTCTTTTACATTATATTAAAAACAGTGTTGCAATATATATGTACTATTGTTTTTAATTATTCAGTTAAAAAATAACCCTAATTTCTGTGAGATTTGAGCCGCAACATTTACCATTCGCTGTGAATTAAACCTTCGAGGTATTTGATCAAATTTTTATCATAAAAAGATTCATTTACTATACCTTTGAATCCTTGATGATCATTTTCAGCTCGTAGCCTACAAGAATGTCGGATTCGTTCACATGTTTAAGCGCTAGTTGAGCAGCAGCAAGCAGGGCATTTCCTGGAACAGAGGCCTTGTTTGGACTCAAAGGGAAAAACCCTCCGATGTGAATCGGAATCTTCGTCCCTTCGACTTCTTTATGGTGTTTTAGAAGCGTTGCAATCAAAACCGTTAAAGCTGTTCTGAAAAAGCTCCCTTTATAAGCAGAAAAGAATTCCATTTCCGCCAAAATGTTTTTACAAGTGTTCGCTAGTATAACGTCTTTCCCTTCTGGCTGTAAAAATTTGGAGTGTTACTTTCGTAGGTCAAGAAAATGTCTTCGTCGTCGTCTTCTTTTTCTTGTGCAACAATATAATCTTCAATGATTTGCCACCTAACCTGAAGTGACAAAAAAATCAAATCATTCATTTGCTATAGACACTTTTTTTTCTTTAGATTTTATCTTAACCTAAAAACCACMTTTGCGTCGAGCGATTGGACAAAAAAGCACCATGGAAAAAGCCTGGCACTGTTGTAAGTGTTGTTGCGTCTCGACTTGTTCCGATATCAGCTTGCGTAGGTTCATTTAACAGTCTTAGTTTTTGTAATCCAGTAATAACTGCAATAAGGTTTTACTAGCCCCAGGCACTTTTTCATGAGTTCTTTGCTTCATAAAGTAAGGCTTTTAGCGCTAATACAGTTCGAGTCTTTTGATTCCTATTTATTCCCAGAGGCGATTTGTTCAGTGCGACTAATGGTCGCTCGCAGCTCCGGTTTTGTTTTTGATCAAAACTAGGAAATTTCGATTAGTAACTAGAGAATAGGGTAAATTGGGGCGATGGGTGAAAATAGATAGAAAAACTGAGCATGAAGTGTTCACTTGAATCCAATTGATCATTAATTGGCGAGTTTTAAGACTAAAGATGCAATAGTCGAAGGTGTTATTTTGAGTAGCTAGTGGTTAGAGTGTGGATGCTTGGCCATCGGTTAGGGCGGGTAAAGAGGGGACTGTAGAGGGATGAATGAACATCGTAGAATAAATATTGTGGAATAGACATATTTTTGCTTTAGTTATAGAGTTGTTAGAGCTTTGAAAACGTAGATAGAAAGTTAGGCGGGGAGGTGATCATATATAGTGGTAAATAAATTATCGATACAGTAATCGTTGTCGGTCGTTTTTTTTTTTTTTTTTTTTTTTTTTTTTTTCNTTTTTTTTTTTTTTTTTTTTTTTTTGCTACTCTCCACGCTGAGCTGTTGCTGCTGTTGTTTTGTTTCTGCTGTTGTTGCATAATCATTATAATACAGATAAGAATAAAATTATTTTCGCTAACACTAAAGTAGCAGGAAGCAACTTTACTATATAATTGTGTTTTTAAGTTGCTAGACCCAAGGACGGAGTTGCTGTAACTAGAGTTAGTCAGTTCTAAATTTATCATTTATTTATTTATTCAGGTTAGAATGCTACTTATTTTGTTCGCCATATGCGAGCCATATGCGAGCCATTTTGGTAGTGTGGTATCTTAAGGGATATCATGCAGCACAAGTCAGCACAGGCGAGTGGAAAAACGTCCCCTGAAGGTGCGCAATTAAGACAATACTAATTACTCAATACTCATTACTCAATACTCATACAATTTCACGGTGTATAATTTACCCTTTTATCATTACAATACTTATTAGTTATTTTGACTTTGTAGTCGAGTGGCTTGAACTAAGCTATCACAAAAAGCTAAAATGCCAAGAGTGCATGAGAATGCGAAAAAGCAGTCTAACCTGACRGCAAATTCATTGATTGAACAGTAGACCCCTTGCATTAAATCTCTACCTGGGGGTCGAAACAATTGAATATATTTTCAACATAAGATATTTCAATCCTCAAGAGAAGGGAATCTTTTTGTTTTGATTGAGCAGATTGAGCTGCTTTGACGTCACATGCAAGGGCCGGGTCTATAGGACACTTGCAGTTATGTCGTCATTTACTACCACTACCAGAATCCCTTGCACACTTTGTTTTATTCAGTTAATTAGCACCAATTGTCTTACTATTCTCGTGAGGAATTACAAATTTGAATGGAAGGTATTTGCGAAGCATTTTGGTAGTGATAGTCATATGACGCCATCATTCAAACTTCCTTCCTCAACTTACATATCGTATTAGTTTTAATTTTTCCGCTCTTCGGTTGTTTCCGTAAGTCATACTCAGTAAACGATCTGATTAGAAATACGTGATGAAATGTTTTACAGCTGATTAATGGACCTCCTCGGCTCTTGCATAGTGTTTTCCCATTTCAGACCACGTGTCATTACGGCTACTGAGTATCATTTTTTTATTTAACGATTGCGCTCGGTTGCACATGAGAAGACACGGCTGCACAGCTCGATTAGCTTGCTATACCGAGCAGCTATTACCTGAATCTTGGCTATAAACATTAATGTTGTAAAGCAGAATTTGATATATATATATATGTATATGTCATTATTATTGGTAATAACGATACTTGTTGTTCAGAATTTTATTCTCAAGGGAATGACACGTGGTCTGAAATGGGAAAACATTACGCCCGATCCGAGGAGGTCTGTTGAAAAATAAAGTTTGAACATTTGACGAAATGTTCTCATCGTATCGTGTTTAGAATGTGAGACTTGCTGTCCTAAATCCTTCTTGAGTGTTACAAATGACTCCAAATAAATCGATATTTTGTCCAACCTTTTAAGGCGAAAACCATTTAGGTAGTATTTATCGCTCTGAAATAATCCCAACTAACACTATCGTCGACTCATCCAATCCAAGCAATCGGCTTAGTTTCTAAGTTACTAAATTCTATTTCCTTTGAGCTAGACATCAAAACGTGGCACAAAATGTCTTCTTTTGTTGTAGAACTTGCGATTTCTAWTTCATGTAATCATTTTATAATTGTATTTGTGTGTGTGTGCAAGGGTTGATATATGCGAACGCGACGAGGAATATCTTGGTTTGTGTTTATGTATAATCAGACGGACAATCAGGCACGTTCTTTAGTATACTTAATCCCTCAAGAGTTCCAAATGACGTCTAAAACTTGTAGATGTCACGTGGCCCGACTGTCTAAACAAGCGACTATGTGGCTACAAGGGGCGCTGGTTTTGAAGAAAGCCAACTGCCTTGTCATTGATTTGCATGATTGATTTAATTAGCTTTAGCTATGATGTTAGGGTCACTGTAATAGTATATGCGTATGGAAAGGGGGGGAAGGGGGTACGTGACCCACCTCCAAAAAGACCTCGCTACGCCACTGCCAATAGGCTACAGATATTGCAAATTATAGCACGATACCGAGGCTCTAAGGGATACAATACTCAAAATTACATTAAACAAAAATCAACCATGAGTACTCATAGTACTGTAGATTGGATGATTAGCACATTGTCGAGTAGTGGATTCACAAGCATTTCTACCAACATTTGTCGAAAGGTAGGAATTGAACGTCGTATATGATACATTATTTCATTCCTATCAATAGATTATTTGGTGATTCAGGCGTTTTGTACCATACATGTAGTACTACAATACGACGTAATCAAGTCTGAATTTTAAGATATCGAACATGGCTTATTAAAGCCGACAGTTTGAAAGCCGGAGAACCTGGGGAAATCACATCAAATTTATAATAAATATAAGACTATATTCCTAGCTAAATCATGTTTAAAAATCAACCTATTGATAAAAACCCGTTTAAGCGAACGGTATTGATCTTAGTTCTATTTAGCCGTTTCTTTCTTAACTTACGATTTGATGACTTACGATGTAATAAAATGCGTAAGTTGTGTAAATGGTAGACTTGATTGCAGTTGAGCATTGATATATTTTCTTAAATATTTTCCGGTTGATATTTTCCGGTCAATAGAATTCGCAAGGACTTCCGATAGCCGAAACAAAACTCACTTTCAAACCTCATTCTTTATCGATAAACTAATAAGTCCTTGAAGGAATGTCACGTGGTTGGTTCCTAGGCTTTGATTGGTTATTGCATCTCTGTCTTGCTATACTACTTACGCTTCTAAAGCGATGTAAGTTTTTATTCTTATTCGGTTAGACATGCAAATCGTAAGTTCCATTTTTCTTATCTATGTGTTCATCAAAACAGAATTCTTGAAAAGTTTCTCGTAAAGCAGAAAATGATTCAACTCCACGTTTTCGTAATATTTATTCTCTGAACTAAGACCTTTTGTATGACGAAACTCAACGAGAGAAATTATAAAATAAACAATAAATTGATGAAAACGACAATTGGTCTCACCAGTTGGAAGCTTCCCGCCTTGACTCACTAAGTTGTCTTGAAAATAGGCGCCGCTAAAAGAAAACAAAATATATTTTAGATAATCAGTGGTGAACACCAAATGTAGAACGGAATTATGAACGAATTCCAAGACGTTTCACCTCGACTTTCCTAACCTATGTCGACCGTGCGTAGAATGAATTGTTTCCGAGACAAACGCAATATCTTGTAGTTCAAGAAATAACAGATCTAGGTTTCACTCTCTTTTGTGGAGAAACGGTTCCAACCCAAGTCTCCATTGGGGCAACGCAGCATAGACCAAATGTACGACATTCAAAACACCTACTTCATATGTTTAGGAGACTCGACAATCTTAAACGCAATTTGGAAGTTCTCCAGTGTCTCTGTACTGTGTTGGTTCAAGTATAAGACCCTAAATCCTTTTGACCAGTCGACTAAACATCGATGTCATTGGAGGTAATGTTTATTGTGTAATATCAGACTGACGTAGTTCCCGGAAGCAAAAGAGCGCGTAGAATAATATGGTGCCTTAGAGATTGAAATTCCGGTTCTAAAAAAGTACACAGTCTATTTTGAAAGTTTCATCCAAGGACTAAACCTCTTTATAAAACTACTAGATGATCTTCGATGCTCTTGAAAATCCAATCAGCTAATGATGAACTAATGATCTTGAGGGAAGGTTWGCGGATGTAGAACTTCGCTATGACGTCAGCAAGTACGTAAAAATAGATTTCCCTTTCTTCTTTATTTTGGTCATAATTAATTTGTTTTCCCAAATTCTTTTAGAAATTTCCCTTTTTTCTCTTTTCGTTTCTATTTTTCGTTCTCCCCTGGGTTTGATTCCATTCATTTTTTAAATAGCTTTTTTTTTGGCTTGAACTTCCCGTCACTTGCATTTTAGACTTCCTCTAGTTACCTAACGACCAAACTATCGCCAATATGCAACATTGCCAATAAATCAAGCGACTTAAAATCTCTCAGATGATCATCAGCTGTCTTGGTTGCGTGGGTAGACACTTCATAGATTTATAAAACCAATGCGTCGTTCATGTTAATTTTAGCAACGTTTGTAGTATCTTCGTAGTTTCTCTACGATTTCTAACAGAAGTATATCCAAATAGATGGTAATCTCACAACTGAGCGCCACGTTAGTCTAGATTGGAGTGATAATCAATGACATGAATCTGATATGAACGAAGTGGCTTTCCGTATGTTGGTTGGATATGATTAATAGCACTGGCATTAGCATATACCAACTTGTCTACTTCCTAAGAACGCGCGCGCTCATTGGTTGATTGGAGGTGGATATCGTACGATATTCACCTCTGGATCTCGGAATATCGAGTCGGCAACAAAATGGCCTCTGCCGGCCATCGTTTTGCTACAATTTCCGATGAGGAAATTGAAAAAATGAAAGTAAATGCAATTCCTATCAATAGACCGATCCAAGGTTAATGGACGCCATCTTGCCGGGTGTTCTTGGCCACTTATGGAACTTCAGGTCTTTAACATGCGATCTTACAGTCCAAAGATTGGGAAACCGCTTGTCATTATCACAATCAACGCAAAAGCGAGCACGTTTTGGCATAATGGCCGCGCGCTCGCCCCAATACTTTTGCACCCCCGGCAAGATGGCATCCATTAACCTTGGATCGGTCTATACTAAAAAGRCAACGAAGTATGGCCTAAAAGTTTTGCTAAAAGCTTTGCTAAAAGCTTTGTTTTGGTGTTGGACTTTTCTCTTTCCTCCCTCTGTATTACCCATAAATGTAATATCCACCATATAAAATGTAATAACAGTCARCCATAAATGTAATAATCGACGCCACCATAAATGTAATCAAATTTAACCATAAATGTAATAATCAAAACCCACCATAAATGTAATAACTCCTCCAACCATAAATGTAATAACCAAGTATTCCGAGTCAAACAAAGTGTTCRATCAACAACCAACTCTGAGCAGCATTGTTTAAGTGTTTCGTCAAACACAGTGGGTGGGGTCACATACCACGTGATAGCCTGTGTAAACAGCCATTTAAGGGTAATACACCCTCGACCCACGCACTTTAAGGAATCATGGCTCGGCTCTTATCCTTACTTCCCCGAAGCGTAAAAATACAAACTTTGACCAAGATAAATAGAAAGACTGCTATGCAGTCGTAAGAATTTGTTGACTTGCAATAACGGGGGATTGTGGTCTCCCTGTGTTATTTACTAGCACCGTAAGCAAACGTTTATTTAAACTAATTCACCAGTGGCGTAACGAGGGGAGGGTGCGAAGTTTTACTAAACCTGTGGATATGGCAGGAAAGTCTAAAGATGAAGCACGCACGCGTGTGTATTGGCGGGAAAATGGTACATTGCACACCCCCTCCCCCTCTCTACGACCGAGACCTCGCTACGTCCCTGTGATGCACTAGATGTTATGATAAATGAACACAGTTGGCATACAGTACTTGGAACTTACAACAGCGGAAGTCTATCTTTTACAAACAAAAAATTAAATTCAGTGCAATTGAGTATTTTTATAACTACCTGATCTAAGCTTGGCAGTCGGGTACGAGTAAACATGGCCATTGAGAGCAAAATGGATAGAACGGAAGATATAAAGGACTCTTTACTAATGTATGTGTACTTATCCTTATTTTGTGAGTGCTTGGTGCTCAGCTGATCGAAAACAAACATTCAAATCATCTTGTAAAATAATTCAACCTTGTATGACTGATCTTCGAATTGACTCTGGCGATTATTTTCTAATTCACGT